GCTTTGTTGTTTGCGTACACATTCGGATTCGGTAAATATGTATGTCATCGTGTTTCTTGGCCGCATGACAACCAATCACTTTTGGTGCATCAAAGCAATGCGAAAAAATACTGTCTTCGATTTTGTTTGTCCTTACAGACGAAAAAAAGTCATCTAAAGCAAATTCTTTTAATGGAACGACCAAAGGAAAAAAACACAACACAAAGGTCAAAGCACACACACACACAGAGAAAAACATACCAAACGAACGCTCGTCTATTCTATTGATTTCCATTGCTATTGTTAGCATTTCCAATGGAAAATTATTTATAGACAAACAAATGAGAAAAAAGAGTGGCAAATGTAAACATTACGTGTATACATCTTAAGTTCTTTCGCGTTAATTTCATTTAGTTTCCAACAACAGTAACCAACAAACCAAAACGGCATAGGTTTTCCTCGTTGACATAATTAGCTCAACGGTGACTTTTAATAGAAAATCGATGAGAAACGGCTCTATGGTCTAGAAATACACACGGTGTATGAATCATACCCGTGGTTCACATAATCAGACGGAAAAATTTACAAGCCAATGAAAAATCATCAACAACACGATAGAGCGAACGAGCGAGCCAGTGAGTGAACCAAGGGGAAAAACATATAAAGAAACGCACACAATTCTTTCTGTGACACTCGTGACGAATATAGAATGGTGAATAAAATAAACAAATGTGATGCAAAATGAGCGACCGAGTGAAAGAAAGAAATAAAAAGCGCGAAGCGCCAATCCAAAATAAGAAATACCATATACGATGATCCTTCGATGTCATTCGAAATCTGTATTGTGTGAGCGCGCGCGTGCGAGAGAGAAAATTTCCTCGCGACTTAACCGAAGAAAAAAAAACAACAAACAAATTGATATATACATGATGATGATGACTGTCGCATATGTAGAGTTTGTGTTTACATTGTGGATGATTTTCGCGATATGTGATGGGGCTCGGGCGCGCGCTCATCACTCTCTCTTTCTTCTGCTAGCCATCATTATTTGACTTGCAATGTTTGCTGCTGTCAGACATTCTGACTGTGTTTGTGGCAATAAAAATAAATAGAAAAGAATTTATGCACGGAAGAGACGATGTATAAATTAGATGCGGGCCGAAGAAGCGAAAAATACAACGATCGGCTAACAATAGCTGAACGCGCATCGTTTATTTTTATTTTCAATATTCCGTTCGTAACCAAAAAAAGGAATTGAAATGTAAAAATAATTTTCCGCAAATGTAGTATAAATATGAGGCAGACAGGGAACAAGTGAAAGAGAGAGAGAGCCTTGCCTTGCGAATGGATCAAAAACATGAGTCAGGTGCTCGTTTTTTCGGAGTCTGTGATTGGCTTGGAAGTTCTTGTGCTGTGAGCTTTTTTTTTCTTCAAATCTTTTTCACGTTTCTTTCGCAAATGCAGCACCAGAAGAACGAGACTGCACGAATGGAAAATAATTGCAATGCGCGGCAAACGAAAACCGCTGAAAAGTGTACGCGCCAACATAAAAACCAACAACAACAACATCATCAACACCAATAACAGCAACAGCAAATCTGAAGTAGAGCCAGAGCCAGAGCCAGAGTCAGAGCCAGAGCCAGAGCAGTGGAAAAAGGAATGAAACATCGAAAAAATTCCAGTCGTCGAGATTGTTAATAACAATGTGGTTTGGTTAGTTTTTTTTATGTCTCCTTCACACTCTGTTACTTATTCATGCGCTGCTCATATCATTTGCTGTGACACAAAACAATGCTGTATTTATGTGCTTCCCTTTCCAAAAACATTTGTTTTTTTTTTTGTATCTTCGCTCGCTTCGTTCGCTCTTTGGCTTTAATGTTGTTGCTCTAACTATGCCATTGGACATGTGTGTGTGCGTGTTGTCGATGTTGTTATTTCGTTTCGGTCGTTGCATTGGTATTTGTAGGCAAAGAGAGCGAATATAGCGCCGTTGATATGAACGAACGAACGAACGCGCATTTGAGAGCTTCGAGCTCATTTTGCAATTCAAATACAAGTTTTCGAGTATACGGCCTTTGGTATGACGTCACGCTATAGCTAAAGGTCATTTTATATGCCATTACAAACTGTTAAATGAACGACACAAACACAGACACATACGCACACATAACACAGCCAAAGACTTAACGGCTACAACAACAGTATCACAACACGGGCTTTGGAATAATATTTGTCGACGCAAACACGATAGAGCGAGAGACTGGGCATTTGGGCTGGACAATGTGTGGAAAAGAATGCGACAATAAACCGCCACAGCCACATATTTTACGTGTGAGTTTGCTTATGCGCGGCGGCTGCTGTTGCTGTTCTCTCGTTCAACGATTTCTGTTCACCTCTATTTCGTTACATTTTGTTGCGTGAATACCTTTGCAGCCAGCGAATACGTGCAGAGAAGCACAAAATACTAGGCCTTTTTTGCTCGTATTTGCAATTTTACAGCAAGAGAGAGCGAACAGCAAATGGCAACAATGGAATGCTCAATCGTGCATCGAAACGAAATCTAACGTACACACTCGTCCAATTGCTTCGATCAAATCGCGCGCGCTCGCTCGTCATACTCTGAAAAGACTCATGAATGCAGTTGTTTAGAAAGGAACGACCGCGCGTATATTGCGTGCATAATGAGCCAAAATCTAATTGGGACAACGAACATATCGCACTCAGTTGATTTATGTTGTTGCTTTTTATTTCTCGACCATTGAAAGCAATGAACTGCTGCCAAACGGTGGAAGTGAGAAACTCTTTTCTTTTTCTTTAATATCCAATGAGTGCACACGCCTTTCGGTTGAATTCCATTTTAAACGTCGTTTTTTTTTAATTTTTTGCGTGCATTTCATCAATGGTAACTTTGGTTTCATTCAATGAATGAAGTGCAAGGCCAATATTTTTACGATTGAACCATATATATTTTAAAATGTTGCTGCCTGTGTGTGTGTGTGTGTGTTGATGGGTTTTAACCATCATCATTTGCCAAAGTGTCGATTCTTCATCGCGAAAAATTGGTTGGAGTTTTTGTTTCTGTTTTCGTTTTCAGGCGATCATTTCCAAAATAGCAGTTATATTGTTTATGGTATGCAATACGCTCTTTAAAAGTGACTATGACTCAACCCACCTGATCGTTGCCGGAGAGTCACACAAATCCAGCTGAATATATTCAGAAATGGAATACACACAATTAAAACAAAAAAAAAACAAACTATATGTATATGAACTGACGACGTCGACGACGAATATGTTAAAAAATGCGATAGAAAGAAGCGTTGAATACGAATCAAATCTCATAACCGGTTTTGCCTTATTGCTTTATTAAATAAATAAATTATGTCGTGTATGTGTGTGACTGTTTTTTTTTCGGTCACTGCCAAAAACGTAGCTTTTGTTGTTGTCTTTTTGGCTCAGTGGTAATCACCAAACCAAAGCAAACTGATAAGAAAGTGAAGATGATGATGATGAAAGAGAGAGAGAGAATCTTGGAATGTGCTTGATTTTTGTTCCCATGCAAGGCAACACATCGCTAATCATTACTTGCAGCAAGCGGCGGCGGTTTGTCACAGGATTTAGTTGTATCGCGCGTTTATTTGCTTATTTTTAGCATGCACAATGTATGCGTCATCATCGAATGTGCTAACGACCAACTTCTCGGTTAATAGCCGATCATCTTATGGCCGAAAAGACCTTACTTTCAACCATTTATTATATTATTATCAACCGTGAATCTTTGACGAACCGTCTAGCGTTCGTTTTATTTTCCTCCTTCATTTCATTTTCTCCAGCAGCAGCAGCAGCGGCAACAGGCAATGTCGAAATGGGGAACAGGTGCATCGTATTTATGCAACATTTTGACCGAGCCACGCACAAAAAAATGGCGATGTTCGCTTCTTTGGCGATATTTTTTAATCTGCTTTTTTTGCTTATTCTTTCGTTTTTGGACGAATCATTAAGGTAGGATGTGCAATATAAATTCGATTCTTGAGTCAATACACAACTTGACGGCACAACTGAGACAAGAATTACGAGTATTGATACACATTTTTTGTTTGGTAGTCGACTGAGAGTCGTCTTTTTTTTCTGAACGGCGTATATTTGCATTTTAGTAGCCAAATTAGTGTCGTAGAATACACGAGCGGTACACACATTCGGTCGTGCCGTGCCGAATGACGATATTCGCTGTTCAAACAGAGTAACCTTGAATTAAATTCAAATTTGCACTTGAAAATTATTCGCCGAGATGAATTTTAAAATCGATTCCATCGGTGTTGTGAGTTGTATCTATCGTTTGTATTTTGTCTTGATCTTGTCTTCCTCCTCATTTCAACTTGCATAGATTTCAGTTTTGGCACTTTGTCACATTAGCATTACGGCTCATTGAATATTCGCTATTTTTTTGCGCATTTTCAAATATTCTCATTTGTTTAAAATTCTCTACGACATTGTTAACCAAACAATTGAACCGATGCAAAACAAGCGAACGAAAACCGAGCGAAAAATTACTTATTTTTTTCCCATTCCTTATTTAGTGGTTTCCGGCATATTCAAGAATTTTGTTTTGTTTTTTTTTTTCTCGTTCGATCACAGCACATGATTGTGCTCACGAGAGGATATCCTTGAGTGTATGTACGCTCTTTATTCTGATACTCATACTCATAGTTTAACATGCAAAAAAACTACTGATTACAACCACTTTTCGAAAAATATATGCAAAGCAATCTGATTCTGATTCCTGATTCTTATGCACTTCCTGCATTTCATTCGCTTCATATATATATGATACTTAAAAGAGAGTAAAATAAAAGAGCTTAAACAAACTGAAAATTGTACTGAATGCCATCTACAATAAATTCATTGGCAGTTGCTGTACAATGAACAAAATGATAATGAAACCAAGCGATTTTGTTCGGAGAGCAATACAGAAATGGTTTTCCAATAAAGAAACGTATAAAATCCAAAAACGTTTAACTTACCGATGAAATCGTAGGCCTCTTGAAAGTATTGTTTGATATTTTGGTGTGGTGTGTCACTGGCTGGTATTTGTTTGTATTCTAGGCCTGGGTATGGTTTTGAGTTCGGTTGGCAGGTAACATTTAATACACAATTTGCACCAACACTTGTTGGATCGACCGCATCACGTCCATTCCCCAGCAACAAAAATGGAAATACTGTGGATGCAGGATGTGTTTCGATATCTGGCAAATGGACAAAAACAAAAGCAAAAGAAGATTAGTCGGATGAAATCTAATTTCTCAGAGTGAAAGACTAGTTAATTTATGTATCATTCAAATTAAATGGCAATTTCGCTGTGTGTGGGTTTCGAGGGTGTCAAAACTGATTAGCTTTAATTCACCCGAACAATTGGCAAACCAGAATGTTTGAATGAAATTTAATTAGTGAACGCTGAAAAATAAACGATTCAGATAATTTAGCACACGGTGTGCATGAGGGGTGCCGTTCTCTCTTACATGCATTCATTTCTGTGTCGAAAACATATCGTTCAATTGGTTTTGTCATTTATCTTCTCTCGATATACTCAACCATGAATTGTTCCGTATGTGCAAAGTGCAACTCACACACACACACATCTAGCAGATGTAAACAATCAAAAAGTTTGTGGGATTTTGCCACTCTGTAGTTTTGCAGAGGCTGCTCGCTTCACGGCCAGCAAAATTACGTGCACACCACTTGAATTGGATGGTTTTTAGTGGATGGCATGCCATTAAGTGCAGCTGGTCTGCGTGTGGATTACATTATGCGAGCGAATCACCACTTGGATACTATAAGACAGTCTGATGATTCAGCTTCAAATACATGCCAACCAACACATAGTCACAATGATGCAACGACGTTCAAATTGTAAGTGGCAATTTTGAAAATGGAAGTCGTGCACCAAAACTCAAACGAACAAAAAATAAACGATATGTATACGTGTGGCTGTTGTTGTAATTGTTCCGTTTTGGTTCTTACAACTACTCACTCTTGCAAGTGACATATTTTCCATTTTTATTGCTGCCAATACATTAACATTTTTCCGGCATCAATTTTTCTTTTCCACCATTGCTTCTCGCTGTGTGTGCGACAATTCGTCGTTGGCTCCATTGAAGCGTGAAACGCAATATCTCGAGATCAGAGCAGTTAGAGGGTTTCGTATATATAGTTTACGTCACATGCAATAGTTAACTATTGATTCATTGCCATTAAAACGTTTTTGGTCGCTTTTCGGTCATTGATTTCGATCCGAAAACAATAAAAACTTCTATTGATTTCAATTGGCATGAATGCGAATCGGACGAGAGGAGAGAGAACATTGTCACAAACAGAATTTAATTAGTGCACACGCGTTGCCCAGTTTAGGCATGTGTAAGTATGCGAGTGACACCACAAGACATCGCATCTCACATCGTTTGATGAATTGTGTGCAATAATAATTGGTGTTGAAGTGATGGCACAGAAAAGATGAAAGGACAATACAATGCACAAAATAGAACAATGCGTCACGATACAAAATTGCTTTCGCCTTGGTGGAATGAATTTTTCGCTTAATCAGTTCACAAAAACACAAATGAAATAAAATCAGTTTTTTGGTGGATTGAATTACAGAGCAAGAAAAAAAAAATGTGCTGAAATGAAAGTTGCTAAGGCCATTGGATGCTTTATCATATCGTTTTCCTTCCGGACGTTTAATCAACATTTATCGTTATCCCCATGACCATTGATACACAACGCGCATCCAATTGCCTCGTAATCCAAAATTTATTCTCAACTTCGGCTTCGGCAAGAGAGCGCTGATTAAAAGCGTTTAGTAATTCTAATTATGCAAATCGGTATCTAGTGGATTCGTATGTGTACAGCCCGTGTTTTTATTTCGGATGGACGTGCGCTCGCTGCGCAATATAATCTCTGTGCATATATTTAAATAACTACATATTCGCCGAACACAGTGGATGGCTGATAAAGTGTAGTAAGTAAGAACAAACGAACGGGCGAGAAAAAAAAACAATATTTTAATAGTAAACAAACAGAGCAACAACTGTTTTCAAATCCAAAATATCCAAGCCTGTATGCATGCGGATATCGACATAATGAACATACTATCAATCCCGGCGAAGATTTTCCAGCCAGACATTCAACATCTTGCAGATCGCCGCAAAACGATCTCTTTTCTTATTCTTTCTCTTCGCGTTTTTTTCTCATGCAGCTTGTGTAAGTATCTTTTTCACTTCTCATTGAAATTTCGCATACTATCATCAATGACGACTGAACATTTCCATTTCGCAGCGCCGTTCATTCGAAGCATTTTAAACATCCGCATGTTGCTATAGAGCCGTTTGTTGTCGTCGTCGTCGTCGTCTACGAAATTGTGTGCATATGCTTGAATTTAATTACTATCTGTATATTTAGCGAGTGAGTCATAATGTGTACACACAACTTTATCTTTCAGCATATTCTCGAGAGTAGTTTGTACGCTTGTTCTGATTCTCTCTCATATTCTTCTGCTTCGTTCATCCACACATTTTCGTTCGGTATATGTATGTGCGAACGATGCGCGATCATATTCCAAAACGTTCATATATCTATATGAGTGTATAGTATTCGGCTTGGTTATGAATCGATTCGATGGACTGTTTTTATATTGCAATGTTTAAAACATGTATCTTATCCATACACTGATTGAAACAGAATATGGAATTGAAGTTTCACGCGCTGTACTTCAATTCAACGGATCGGCATTCTTGTCTTCAATGTGTTGCGTTTTTTTTTCGTGTTGTATTTTATTTACTTTTTCGTCGTGTATAATGTACACAGTATTGTAATTTGTCGTATTTGACGATACATATCTGCTTTTTATCAATTTATTCAAGTCCAAACACAAACTGTTTGTACGCAGCCGATTTATATTAGTTGGTGTTACATTTTTTTCACTGTTTTGCCTTATACTTTGTATTGGTGTTGTTGCTGTTATTGGTTGTCGTATGTCAATCTATTTATTCATCATTTTTGGGCTGCACGAATTTCGAAAATGGTTGAAGCAATTCATGAATTATTTGACGAGCTTTGTTAATTTGAGGCTTCTTTGATTACTCCCCTAGCTTTTGCTTTTCTCTCTCTTACTCCCCCCCCCTCTCTCTCTCTCGCTCGCTCTCTTTTTCCTGCTTTTTGTCGAGTACATACTCTGTAATTGTGTTAACAGTTGTTATTTCATTGGTGTTTGTTTATTTTTTATACAACAACTCTTGTGATATTCACAATTTTATCTGTATAACATCGGGCGCTGTCTATATATATCATATATAGCATATACACGCCGCAATAAGAACATTATATAATGGCTAGTGTTGTTTTTTTTTCTCTTCATTCTTCCTTCGTCTGTTTGTTGTATTTGTTCGTTATATTAGTACTTGAAATTGTAATTCAATTTTTTTTTTGAAATGTTCCGTACATGAAGTTTTCTATCGGGATCAAGTTTGTACATACGGCAATTTATCACACGTTAAATTAGTCCTACCAAACGGCTTATTCACGGCTTGTAAAAATCGCTGATAAAATGAATTCAAATAGCATTAGAAACATAAACAACATATACAACGCATGATAAAAAATGATTCTTATCAGGTTTTATCAATGACTGGCGCTCTGATATATTCACCAGTTTTTTTTTTAATTTGATTCAAGCCATTTTTGACTTGGCGGCGCCTTGACTCACTGCAGTTTGACGATCGCTCAGAAGGTCGCATGGAATTTTTGACAGGTTTTTTTTTCTGCCTTCATTTTCAGTTTTCTTGAGTTTCTGCATTGTTTCATTGGAAAAAAAATTTCATTCGTTCGACGTAGTCGAGTATATGAATCATTGTTAAGACAAAGTACAAATGAGTTACGTGTATGACGGTAATTCTTTGCATAGAACTTGATGTTGATCAGCATCGGAAAAAAATGCATTTATGTTTCATCGCGGAATATATTTTTTTCAGCTACAGATTTTAATATTCGGTAAATTGTTCGCACAGTTGTTCGAAACGGTTCGCGATGTTCATGATCAACGCTCAAATCCGCACGCACATCGCTTCGTATGCAATTTTATTGTCTGATTAGTCATGATGCGAGCAAAAGAGCGATCATTAAATCGAAAGGACACCGCAGAACATTCACCTGGCGGCCAAACACGATGATTCAAACACCGCCGAAATTACGTCAATCAAAGACGACGAATAAAAAAAAATTCTCAAAATAAATTTTTTGATGGCAAATGCATTTTACGAGTGATGTGTCGAGAGGAATCTTGCTACGATGAACAAACAGAAATATCTTGCGTCAAGAGAAAGACATTAATTCGGCTTTTCTCTTAGATAAATGGATCGCATTGTCAGAGTGTTTTTGTGTCTTCACTCTCTCTTTTGGGTGACATCCACACAAAATAGACATGGTTCAGTGATCACGACGCTTAATTGCAAATCAGCCATTTAGAAAACGAAGCCACCATTCGATGTGTGAGTGTGAGTGTATGGTTTTTGGTCGAAACATTTGACGTAAGCTCATCATATGACCGGACATTCTGTCTGACTGACTGATGTGTATTTGGCGAAACCATTTTGCCACAAATTAACAATTAACTCATATTTTTTTCCCTCTCATTTAAATGTATAAATAATCGTCTTTTTCTAGTGTTCATCGGTATGTACGATAAATGAATACAAAAAGACATACAACACCAATTCGCCTTATTTATTTATTTAAATGTGTACTTGCAGCAACTTGACAAAAGAAAAGCGACCGAGAATTGGATCGTAAATGCAAAAGAGATGGGCGGAAAAAAAATTCGTTTAAAAATAACTCCCGAAAAATGCAACGCACAAAATTCATAATTTGCTTTATTTATGTCACATAAAAGCGTTGATGGTGCGAACAAACGAGAAAGAAAAACGAACGTGAAAAATTATTACGTCCGATTCGGGGGCAGGTCAATCAATGGGCATTCACAAATATTCACAGCGATGTGCAAAGTGAAGCGGGGGAGTTGATGGCGTCTCAGCTTTCGGCCAATTTCAATATTTATGCAAATATTTGGCGAAACATCATCTCTCATTCTTTTCGCTTTTTTTCTCTAACTCGCGATTTCTCAGCCATTTGCGCAACAAGCACCATTCCAATGTCATCTGACCGGACATTTATTTTTTTTTCCATTCATTCATTTCATTTCAAATCATACAATGTCAAAAACTATTATCAGCTTCCTTTTTCCATGTTGTTTTATCGTACTCTGTGAATATTTTTAGAATGTGTCACATACTTTTGGAATGTAATTAGATTTTGGTCTTGATAATAAATATCTCAAGAGTAAAATAAGGGCAACATATTTATAAAAATAAAGTGTACATAGAGCCAGAGTGAGAAACGTACAATATCAAAATATTAGGGAGATAAGTTTAGTATAGAAAAAAAACAATGAATTTGTCGGCAGTATGTGAGCTGAAGCGAAACAACCACAAAAAAGCACTTGTTCCTCAAAAGGAAGTTGATCGCGATAATGCGATGAACAATTTGGTTGGATATTAAAAAAAATATTTTTATGAATGAATTTTTTCTTGCGTTTTATTCGTTATCGTTTTCTCAGTTCTCTTTCGTGTGTGCCATTTTGTTTATGTGAGTGTGCGTTGTATTTTTTTGATTGTTATTGTCGGCTTCTCTCTGCTTCTTCCGTCGTATTTGGTCACACCATCGCCTGGCTTCATTTAAATGTGATTTGCTCGTAAACCGAACGTGTGCATAGTATACGGCTACTGGAATGAGTAATTTGAGCGCTTTCAACAGTTTGTACCGATACGCACTTATAAACTCAACAATCGAAAACACAGAAACACACACACACACTCTTATGAACAAGGCAAAAATTCATAATCGAATTAACAAAAAAAAAGAAAAGAAAAAGCAAGCGAAGCGCAAGCATCGTATCGAGCAAAATCCAGTGAAAACAAAACAAAACGAACTGAAACAAACGTTCAAAGAATCAAAAGAAAAAAACACATGCGACAACATGTAGCCCACGTATTTTGCCACTATAACAACGAGTAGATAGATTATTATACACAACCATCCAGCAAATTGTTGCGAATCGAAACAAAACAGCACTTCCATTTCAAGAAATTTGAAATATAGACACAAAAAATTACGCGCGCGCGCCCGCGATCGCGCTTTCACGCTCATACTATAGAATAAATTGGGTGCTGAAGACAGAGAATAGCAACAACAACAAAAAATAAAGAAGGCAACCAAGTGTATTTACGGCGAGCACGCAAAATGAAGTCATACGACACTTATTGTGCGGTCTTTTGATTTAGTTGCATTTTGGTTGCATATTCTATGGATCCGTGCATTCATCGTCGTCGCCGTTTGTCGAATTGAGGGCTGCCAATAATTCATATCGCATAATGATATTCCATTTGTTTCATTGAACGCGTCTAAGCCACAGAAAGTAACAAACGACCACTTATTATCGCATAAAGCCATTTTCTAGTGAAATTGATGCTGAATTCGTACTCTCCCCCAACCACACTAATTCCGATTAAAGTACGCACAATTTTCTTGAATCAAGAGTGCAAAAGTCGTGATATTGCGGAAATTTTCGGCTATCGCGGTAAACGTACGTTTCGAATTGTACGCATTGAGGAAAAAATAGAATTCCATGAAATCAACAGAATTTTTTTTTTCGCCTTGATTGTCACAACGGAAATTAAAAACCAAAATAATTTAAATTTTATGATATTTTCAGAGAAGTGTATGCACTTACCGTATGTAGCAGCGGGACTAGAACAGCTTCTGGCCAATGGTACTCGTGAACCAGGGGGAATTATTGATTCTTCACATGGTGACTGTGGTTCTTTGTGTCGTTGTTTATTGTAATCTTTGTGATTTCCTGGAATAGAGTCAAAAAACAATCGGAACCATTAGCGTTAAACGTTGAAAATCGTTGAAAATGTTCATTTCAAATTTAAATCAATTTTCATTTGGTTTCAATTGATGCCTGTCTACTTGAATATTCTGATGTCTATGTCCATATGGATGGGTTTCATTGTGCCATATCGATATGTTTTGAACTTTTGAAACACCAAATAAATTGCATCGAATTTGTGTTGCAAAGTTCGTAAATGAATTGTTAGTCGAAAATAGGCAAAGACATCATTGAATCACAGATTAAATGCCGTTGGTTTGTCCGGTCAAACAGAGTGAACAAAAATGCACAAAACGTTACAAAATAATTCTTTTCGCTTTGCAATGGGGCAATTCTTTTGGATATATTGTGTCCATCCATACGACACATGATAACCTTTTACCACAGTATGCAAATCACTTTGTTTGCTCATGACTTTCTCATTAGCATTTTTCAATGTGTGCTTTTGCAGTTGCTGTTGTCATTTCTTTTTTCCTCATTTCTGTGATTCGCTTAGGGCTTCAACAATGTGGAATAGTTTTGCATTTCTGATTTGGAAATGTGAGTGTCTGAGTCGAGTGACCGTTTTTTTTACATTTTCTGTGTTTCTTCTATTATTGTTGTTCATTTAGTCGTTTTTTTTTCTTCGAATGTAATTCATGGCGGCGCACACCAAAACCCAGCCATTTTTCTTATTTTCTACGATTTCAAAGGCCCGTTGAAGCCATTTTTCCCTCCAATTGATGGTTATTCTACTCTTAATTGGCTTTATGTCATGCAATAACTGAATCACATTCCAACTATGGCCATAAAATCCAACTGTACTAATAATTCATTAATGAAATATGTATGAATGCATCGGAATTTAAAGTGCATTTACATCGAGACTTTGAATCGCATTGAACACCAGCCAGACCATGAGTATTTTAGTTGTTTTATTTATTTATTTTTATATTTTATTTCGGGTCGATTTTTATTGTACACACCAAACAAACCAAAAATAAAAATGTGTTGGACGATGTTTCGGGTGATATTCGTTAGTTCATATCAAATTACCGCTTTACTTGCCAATTTCGTGTGCAGAGAATGCACCAAAGACATACATTTACACAGACAGAGACAGAGAGACACAGAGAGAGAATAATGAAACAAGGACCAGCCAAGTGACGTTAAACTTTCGAATGGCATTTATTAAAATAACAATAATACCGATAGCAATGGATACATTACAAATAGACGTTCAAAAATGCAGGCATCTAGAGCGCACATTACTAAATCGTGATGCCAAAAAAGCAAGAATAAATAGATAGTTGATGGCTTGAAAATGGAAAAGGGGAAAAATGAGTACACCGCTTAAAGATAGTCGAAGTGTTGGGCTGTAGAAGACGAAATAAAACTATACACACAACGCAGAAGAAGGCAAAGAAAAAAATTACAACAACTGAACGACAGAATCGAATAACTTCAGCGGCATGGTACACAAGATAAAACTTGTTGCTTGCTTCTTTTTTTCATGCTGGCATCGATTCGAAAGCGGCAATGTTTTTGCAGCATCAATAGTCGGATGGCTGTGTTTTAATAATAAAAGAATGTATATCCGAAGTGAATCGCAAATATCGTTATTTTTTTCCTCTCTTTTTTTATTCCATCCCGTTGCTGTTGTAGTTGTTGGTGCGACTGCAGCGTGGCTGGATATTTGGTATTAATGGCGTTATGCTGTGCACTACTGTCAGAAGATGATAGAAACACGCCAGTCACTTGGTTGTAGCCCCTGCATGAATATGTCTTGAATTAAAATAGACTCAAACCATAAATACCTGAGAGAGAGAGAGAGAGAGAGCGAGCGAGAGAGCGAGAATGGTTTGTCTTGGCATTCGCGCGTACACCTTTCATAATATGCTGTGTACCTTTGCATCTGTGCTCACGCACATTGTCCAAATCGTTCGTTCGGTTTGGAATCCGAACGAACACTCATACACACATTGCCACTTACTCACACCAATACGCACAATCGATTGTTGCAAGCTGCACATAATTTAAAGCAACTTGCTGTGGCATTTGGTATGTGTGTATGTGTAGTGGTGTTGAGTCATCGCAGGATGCAATTCGAGTACAAACATTGTGAGAGATGTAAAGTGAAGGTCGCCATTTGCATGGTGCTCATAATTTTCCAACAAAAAATGAATCGAGTACTTTGGCCGTTGTTGTTGTTGCTGCTATTCCACGTCTTGCATTTGATTACGTCGCCAATTTGAATGAACTTTAATTGAATTTGCCGTACATTTCAAGAAAATTGTTGCCGACACAGCACATACAATATTTATACTGAAATATATCGAAGCATCGTACACAGTTCACTCTGGGCTTGGCCATCGAAAATGCATTTGTGTCTAAGTCACACCAAATGCAATCGTTTATGCACACGATGCACACACATAGCGCATTTATGTTTCTCTCTCTCTCTCTCTCTCTCTCTCTCTCTCTCTCTCTCGTCTGTTCCACAAATTGGCTAATGTGTGTGTGTGTGTATGTGTGAGCTGCTCGTTGATACTCTTCCATCGTCGCGAGTGAATGGCGCTTAGTCATCGCAATTGAGAAAGAGATTAATTGATGGAAACTCAAACAGAACACAACAAAACAGTCATAAACATTTAAAGTCATAATTTGTTTACAAATTATTGACCGTTTACAGAAACCAATCACACACACACAATTTCTGCGATCCCTCTCTCTCTCTCTCTCTCAGTGTGTGTACTTTATTCCTCATTTAGTTTTAGTTTCCATTGTGCTCGCACCAGAGATTCGCTATAGGAATGAAACACACATCATGACATCATGTACAACTTTTCAGTTTATTCAACCGCAAAAATAAAAAATAATTGCTCATTGGAATGAGCTAACAATTCAATCAAAACATCATTCGGCCAAATCTAATGAATGTATGCGTATGCGTGTGTGTGTCTATCGATGATAATGATGATGATGATGATATGAATCGTATTCCAACGTGTTCGTTGTTTAAACATTTTGCTGAAGGGAAAAAAATCGCACACACAATTGTTTTTTATTTCGACTAAATTTGTGTGTTTGCATTCGAATAAATATGTACATATTTCGCATGCAAACCGTTTAAAAGAAGCGATCGAAAAAAACAGACTGAACATTTTTCACTGGTTTTTGTTTCGAAAGGGGGGGAGGTTTCGTTCATTGATATTGTCATTTTCACACGTTTAATTGGCTGAATGAACATGTCTATGCTGTTGTTTATAAGCGGAAGCCGTTGCGTTTTTATTGTATTTTTCTATTGTGTCGGCAGAAAAATACAAACACAAACCAAACGACCGACCGAAAACCAAAATGAGAAAACCCCCAAAATTGAAATTCAGTAAGGTGATATACAGTGATTATTTTGCACCACATGCAAATTGCTAATGACCGGTGTTGATACGGAAAATTGGCTTGCCTATGCAAATGTTTAAATCGTGTACTGTCTGTTGTTTGTGTTTATTTGGTTGGTGCATATTCCCTCGCTAATATGAATTTCCTCTTGAACGAGTCACACGATTGTCCCTTTGTTCGTTTATTCTCTCTTCCTCTATCTCTCTCTCTTGCTCTCTTTGTGTGTACCGTGTCTATATACGCACTAGTGCTGTGGTTTTTCGTACTGAGCCAGCGCGATGCTGTTGTACGTGGTTTTGTGCGCCGAATTCTTTTGTCTTAAATTCCAAAAAAATAGAAACAACAAATATTGAAACAAGCCTACATTTCGAGAGAGAGAGAGAATATGCCTTCTTAGTTTAAATTACATTTCATAACCTTGGTGGTTTGCGCATCAAACAATTCACTGATGTTTCATTCGGGTGCAAATGCAAAGTAGTTTTCTCATCAAATAATTCATTGGAATTACTGGCAAGGCATGCCCAAAACGGTTGTTTGTTTTTTTTTTCATCGATCTGTTTAATAGATGACTTTAGTCATAATAATGATAAGAAAGTTGGATTTTACACGTGTTTGGATGACACATCAGGTTATTGTAGGCACGTCTTTGCACACAACAACGACCAAACAATTCAAGTACAAAGTAAAGTTCGGCCGAATTGAGTGTGAGCAACACCTAAACCATGGTTTAATGACTGCATTTCTGACCATCGAAACACACATACACACACACGCGGGCGCGCGCTCATACTTTCCGCCTCCATGATGGATTTAGTCAAGTATTAACACCAAAACGAATGAATGAATTTAAAATCCAAAGCATACACGAAAAAAATAAGCACTCATCTTCTTCTAAAATAGAGTCTGTCACCATGAACGACAGCAGAGAGGAGAAATAAAAAACTGAAACGTATGCCTATATTCCTCTCATGAAAACAATGCACATAACCCGTATGACTCATTGTCGTTCATACAACTTGCGGTTTAATTCATTTGTAACAATTATATGAAACAGAGGAAACGAAATGTGGATAAATAGACACAGCGAGTGAGTGAGAGAATGAGAGTAGAAAAAAAAACGCCACAAAGCTTTGCTGTAAAACATACACAATAGAGATACAAGCAATAGAAGGAGATACAAATGCGCGCACACACAACGTTAAAACAAAATATACCGCATCGTACAAATGTGAGTGCATTCATATGGTTTACATGTAAAATAGCATCGTGCACCATTTAATTTGTATGCCGTTCTATGAAAGTGGCCACGACCGCTTCCAACTACAAAAACGTATCGCCAGCCAAGTGCTTATATTTTGTTCAATGTGCGTGCAGTTTATTCATTAAAAGAAAAACACCACCAGGCAAAAGTGTGTGTCTGTGTACTTGTGTTTGTACATGATAAAAATTTCAACAACAAAAAAACGCACAGAAAATCGGCCGTTAATAGAGACGAGCAAACGGTCACTATCGATAACGAAAATTAAACGGTAGCACGGTAGTAGCGACAATAACATGTGTATAGTTGGATGGAAATACAAATGGCTGGTATATGTGTAATGCTAGTAGCAAAGAAAGTTTTTTTTTTTTTTTAAAAACCACAACAACGATTTGCGACTTTGATTTCTTGATTTTGTCCCCTCCGTATGCCGGTAATGTGTGTTTGTCATCGAAAATTTGAAGACAATGGGCTCTAATTTTTGAACATTTGTATTTTGATCAAATTTCCATAGAAATCCATTAAAACAATCGCATTCAAATAATGTATTCCTTGGATTCCAATTGAAGAATGCGAAGCCAAGCAGAAAAAATGTCGTTCGAAATCCATTCAATCTTTTCTTGTCCGATATTTGTGTGTTAAAACGGCCAGATATTGCATTATGCTTTAATGCCCTATGATTCATAAATTGGATGGACACATTCAACAGTGAGAGAAAAAAAAACAACAATAAGCACGACGTGCAAAACTGTTCACGTGACATATTCACTTTTATTTGCATATTTCTTTCCTGTTGATTCTTCAAGTATTACCGTGAACGTGAGCGCGCGCGCGCGAGTGTGCTGTGCTGTCTCTCTTTTTGCTCACAGATTCGTACACGACAGACACTTTGGCAAATGACTCATTTGGCTAATTGAACAATTTTATTTTCATAATAATAACAACAGCCAATATTATTTTCGAATCAGCACATACACACAGTCGAATGAAGAGAAGAAAAAAATCGAAGCAAACGAGCACAAGTTTAGCAATTTCATGAATAAGCAAACAAGACAAAGTATTTATTTGACTTTTGATATATCCTGCATATATGAATGCAGCCTTTTGTGTGTTCTTGCACCCGAAATTTTTCGGCTCACAACGAAATAAAAGACATATGCATCGCTGTCGATATTTTCGTTGCTATTGTTGTTGTTGTTGTTGTGAATGAAATAAAGTCGATACACGTCACACGGGAACCACTTTTTGTTTCGAGTGATTTCTATTTGTCGTGATAAGCATGTATGTTGTTATCGCTGTTTTCACAATTTTGCCTGATTTCAATTTTAGGAAAATTTGTTAGCCAATTGGTTCTTCTACGTGATTGATGAAATTGAACAATTGATACGGCCGATAATGAGTCCAATAGACTTTTGAGGTCGTAAAACACATTCATTCGATACTGGTGGCCACACGTCAAGTGGGTAGCCGTACTTCAGTTCAACAATTGCCTAATCAAATCACATTTGGTCGTTGTCGTTGTCGTTGTCGTTGTCGTTGTCGTTGTCGTTGTCGT